GGACGGGACAGACGGGACAGACGGACACGGGGACACGGATAACGAGGATACAGGGATACAGGGACAGGACACACGGACACAGAGACACGGGGACACAGGCATACAGGGATACAGGGACACACGAACAGGACAGACGGGACAGACGGACACGGGGACACGGATAACGAGGATACAGAGATACAGGGACAGGACACACAGACACAGGGACATGGGGACACAGGCATACAGGGATACAGGGACACAGGGATACAGGGACAGGACACACGGGCACAGGGACACAGGGATACAGGGATACAGGGACACACGGACACACAGATAGGACACACGGACACGGGGGCACACAGACAGGACAGATGGACATGGGGACACAGGGACACAGATACGAGGATGAAGGGATACAGGGACAGGACGCACGGACACAAGGACACAGGGATACAGGGACACACGGACACAGACAGGACACAAGGACACAGGGATACAGGGATGCAGGGATACAGGGACACGGACACACAGGCACATGGACACATGGACTGTGGACACTTGGACACAGCATCCACGGACACAGGGACATGTGGACAGGACACAGGGACACAGGGACATGGACACAGGGTCACACGGACGGGACACACAGACACAGGGACACAGGGACACATGGACCATGGACACAGACTTACGGACACAGACCCGCCTATACACAGACAGGGACACACGGACATGGACACACGGACACACAGGCACAGCTCCCCCCCCAACCAGCACCCAGTGACCCCCCAGAGCCCCCAGGAAAAGCCAGGACAGGGTGGGGGTCACAGGGCTTTAACTGGGGGACAGTGAGGTGCTATGGGGTGGCAGTGACACGTGGGGCCAGCAATGCCAGGGGCGTGGGGACAGCGCAGGGGACACGGGGACAGCGCAGGGGACACGGGGTGGCCCCTCAGCGTGTGATGGGGCAGGTGACCCCGGTGCCCTTCATGCCACAGGAGGCCCCGGGCACCTTGTGCAGGTACTGCTGGTGACGGTCCTCGGCGTAGTAGAAGTCACGGGCCGGCTC